TGAGACAGGATGGAACATGGACTGTCTGCATGGAGAGTGCCGGGATGTCTCTGAAGAGGAGCAACTTTACCCCGAATCCAATATCTACCAGCCACTGTGGGGTTATTGGTAATTTGGCAATTAACCAGATGGTTTGATGAGCAGCTGAACAACAGGCAGGAAAAGGTGCCTGTGCTCCCTGTGGGCGGGTCTAAGTTCCGAGTCAAAGTTGTTCTCTGGGGTGAACTGAAAGCCACGGCTGCATCACATTCCTCCCCCTCCATTCATTGCACAGTCACACACCATTCCCAAGGGCGCACCGTCCTCGGGGCTCCCCTGGTCCCAAGGTCAGGCTGACACCAGGATGGGCGCAGGCTGAGCCTCTCCACTGGGGCAGGAGGCTGGTCTCTCTCCTGAGGGAAATGCCACGGTCCTTCCTACGGGGGCCCCAGGGATGTTAAGCATGGAGACTGTCCCAGGTGAGCTGTGCTAACCCGCTCAGAATCCTGGGAGTCCCTAATGTCCACACGACCCCACAGGAGACCATGATGTGCTTACTTAGTCACCCACACAGTCATGCTCTTTGTCCCTCACTAGACAGTCACTCCCTCACTAGACAGTCACTAGCTCTCCTCCTCCTCCTCCTCCTCCTCCTCCTCCAATTTCTCTTTTTTGAGGATCTACTCACAGAGAATTATTCCGGACACACAGACAGGATTTAGGGGAGAGTAATAATTAGGACAGGAAGAGATACCCACAACAGTCTTTAAAATAGAGAAATAAACTAGGACAAATGGGAAATTGGGTGAAATAACAAAGAGAAAATTTACATAATAGATGAGAAGCCAAAGGAGCACACCCAGAGCAAGAGGGAGACAAATGCTAAGTGCACAGTGGATTTTCCCAGGGTGAAGGTGGGGTCAACAACACCCACAGAACATTCCAGCACCCCAGCGGGCCCTCTTCATGTCTTATTTGGTCATAGACTTCCCCCATACCAACTCACCATGACCTTGGTTTCTACACCACAGGTGAGTTATGTCAGCTTTTGAGAGAACGAAATGTTACAGTGGCAGCCTCTCTGCACCTGCTCTCTCTCCACATCAGGTCCCATCCTTGTCCCACTGGCTCTTGTGGTTGTAGTGTATTCACTCTCAGGGCTATGAGGGTTCTAGCCTATGAACACACCACACTCGTTCTCCGCTACTGCTCATGTGCATTTGTCTTACATGCAGATTTTGCAAACTGTGCAGCTATGAATAAATTCTTCATATGTTTTGCACACATATGTATGTGTGTCTATTGGGGATATAACCAGGAGTGGAAATGCTGGGGTGTTGGGTGAGCAAATGTTTGGGTAGTGAGGGCTGCTAAAGCATTTTCAAAGTATTTGAAAACACTTACTCTCCCACAAGGAATATATGAGAGATACAATGAGGCCAACTTCGTGCTAACAATTAACTTTGTCTCTTTCATTTTTGCTATCCTGTGAGGTGGGCACCAATATCACATTGTGGCTGAACTTGAGTTTCCTCTGACTAAAACTGTTGGGCAATTTTTATAAATGTATGGACCATGTAACCATCCTCAATAGGAGGATGGACTGGATTCTTGTTCATGAGTGAGTGGACTCTAGTAAGGTGCCAGCATCCTTAACTATTGGGACACTTTGGGTATTAATGGATCTGTGGGCAGACCCGTGGGGTAAGAGAAAGTGGTCTTTGCTTCTGGTGCCTGGCACTGAGCTCCTAAAACCCTGGGCATCTCCTGAGTGACAAGGGTCTTTGGGACGCTGATGAGATGGCCCTTCGCTGAGGGTCCTGGAGGCTTCAGGGTGGGGGCTGGTCCCCAGAAAGACCAAGCTTATCAGAGGATTGGAAGGTTCAGGCCCTAGAAGGAGGCAAGAGCAGGAGGAGCCTGAAAATGCATCTCTCCACACCACAGAGTCCTGTGTGCTGGGACACCTGGGCCAGCGGGACAATGACGGGTAACATGTACCCTTTTGCTTTCAGATGGGGGACACCCAGATAATGAGACCATAATTCACACATGAAAATAATAACAGGCATAATATCTACAACAGCAAAGAAGCAACAAACACTCAGAGGATGGGTGCTGGGTGCCGGGTGCAGGTTCCTGGCTTGACCCAGGCTGACCTGCCCCAGGAAGACGTCGCTGTCCAGGGTCCTGGAGATGCGCTGCATTAGGACATGTGACAAGGCCTGGGGGATGTGTGTCCCTGTGACCACAGGTCCCGGTGGGACAAGGTTCTACTGAAGGACAAGGTCAGAGGAGCAGAGAGGTGACCCGCCGAGGAGTGACCATGTCAAAGCCCACGATGCACTGAGCACCACCTGGGCACAGGCCCCGATCATGCCCCGTCCCCAGAGCCCTTCCTGTCCCCACTGGGGACAAGGTTCTGCATGGCAAACACATGAGCTCTGGAACGTTCTTGATGTTTATTTCCCCTCAAAATTAGAATCTTCTCTTTTAATTTACCCACCAACCCTTCATGGCAAGAAATGAACACAGTCACATCCAGAAACTCATTTCAATATGGAGCAGGTAGGTGCAGCTCAGAGCACCAGAGAGTAAAGGCAGGGATGGGGATGGCCCAGCCCACTTCTGCTGACAGGAAAGTGTGGGAAGCAGGGCTGAGCCAGCAACCCAATCAGAGGTTCTTGAGTCAGGAACTGGTGTGGGGAAGCACGGGATGTGGTTGGAATGTCTATAAGGAGGATTCTCCGACAGGTCGGGGCCTCTGAGGGGACTTTGCCTAAGGCGGCAGCCCCTACCGTGACTTGTTGAAACAAGTCATTCCCATGGGGTGTTCTGCTAGAATCTCTATGCTCAGTGTTTGAGAACCGACCTTGTACAAGCAGGTGCTTTCTCAAGGATGCGTACCCTGCAGATTGTATCCTGAGATTAATTTTAGTTCAAGCAGTTATGACAATAAAAGCCAAAGGAGGAAGTTGAACAGGGCTACTTGGCAGCGATAGCCAAGTAGTGCCTTAGCCTCCCTTTCACAGAAAATGTGTGAGAGCCATCATTCATCCGTTGCACAGGGTCTGCCAGCAAAGTGGGAGCGTGAACACATCTTCCATCACTCAGTCCCCACAAGGCAGCTGCCTCACGCTGTGGAGGACAAGCATCATGAACAGATTCAGGTCAGTGGCTGTAACTTGTGACATTCTCACAGTCCACTTCATGTTCACAGTGTCCCACAGACTCCCCACCACCCAGTCCTCCCCTTTGCCCACCCCTCCCCACATCAGGTTCTCCACTTTAGAAAGTGAGAGAGACACATCCTAGCCCTGGGCACAGTCAGTGCCTGAGGGGGACACACCAGGACGTGGTCAGAGCCCCAGGGCAGGAGACTAAGGAGGAACTAAGGGGTATGAGGTCTCCCATGGCTCCCGTCAGGACTGCCACAAGGTCTCAGGTGTCACCCCTCCATACTCACTGGCAGCCTGAGCGTAGCTCCCTCCTTTCCCACCTGCGGGAAGTAAACATCCCGTGAGAGACCAGGGAGGAGGCAGGGCCATGAGGTCCTAAAGGAAGCCCTAGTCCTGAGCCCCAGAGAAGTTTCCAGAACCCTGTGTATAGACCCAGGGTAGAATCAGGACACCTGAAGGAAGTGCATGTGTGGGGACTGAACCCACCGCCCTCCTGGAGGTCTGTGTTCAGCAGGGACCTGCCCTCTGACCTGGGACTGCTGAGAACAGGGTCCCCACCACCAGCATCATCAGGTGATAAGTGGGTCCCTCATTTTCCCACGGGCCTCACTAAGGAGTAAGTGTGTGCACAGAGCCCCACACTGGCCATCACACGTGTGGGGATGGTGCTTCCCATGAATGAGGCGGGACACACGTCTACCTGGGCTTGAACCCCCAGTGGGACAGACACTGAGATCCCACCACTGCCCACCTGAGCGCCTCCTCCCCCACATCACAGCTCCAGCCATGGATCCCAGCAGAACCAGGCCCCCAGTGATGCCCATGATGATGAAGATGAAGGTCTGAGGAGGCGGCTCTGGGAGGAGGAGGGAAGGGAGGGTGAGGACCCTGACCCCAGGCCTCAGCCCCAACCCCACTGAGGTCACCCAGGGCCCCTTCTGCCTTGAGAAGAGGCTCTGTGCCCACGGCCCCTCCTCACCCCATCTCAGGGTCAGAGGCTCAGACAGCCCCTCGTGCTGCACATGGCAAGTGTATCTCTGCTCCTCTCCAGGGGGCACCCCCACGGCCGCCCACTTCTGGAAGGTGCCATCCCCCGCAGGCCTGGTCTCCACCAGCTCCATGTCCTGGGTCTGGTCCTCCCCGTCACGCTGCCAGGTCAGGCTGATGTCCGCAGGGTAGAAGCCCAGAGCCCAGCACCTCAGGGTGACCTCACGCTCAGAGACGGGGTGGTGGGTCACGTGTGCCTTTGGAGGGTCTGAGGGGAGGAGAGAAAATGCAAGAACTTCGCATCCACCATGGGACACTCCACCAGCGCCCATGTGACCATCCTGAGAGTGGACAGCCACCTGGCGTGGGGGAGGGAGTACACAACCCACACATCAGCCAGGACACAGGCACCTGGAAGGGCCTCCCAATCTTTAGAAAGTTCTAGAATCAGAGTGACACAGTCCAGGGAAGGTGGCAGGTCTCTGAGGGGAGAAAAGCTATTTGTGGTCCTGACCCGGGTGGAGGCCACATGACTCAGAAAAGCTGGGGTGAGGCCTCAGACACAGTGTGTGGGGGCAGCACACAAGGCCTGAGAGAGAAAGACCCCGTGTGTCCCAGAGCCTCTGCAGGGTCCATGGGAACCGCTGATTGGCTATTACTGGGGGGTCTCCCTGCACCCCAGGAGAGCCTGCACCCCTAACTGTCCCTTAGATGAGGGTGTCCCTCTGGTTCCTGTCCTAGACATCCAGGGAGCTCCCTTCCTGACCCTAAGGAGGGGTGTCTGACACTGAACCCCTGTCCTGTCTCCTGGTAGCAGTCCCAGCCCCAGGTCCCCTGGTACCTGCCCGCTGCAGGGACTCCTTCCCTTTTTCCAGGTAAATGAGCAGCGAAATGAGTAGTGACTCCACACACAGGCCCTCCACGTAGCTCCTCACACGCTCTGCCTCACCCTCCGCCTCCCACTTGCGCCCGGTGATTTGAGCCGCCAGGTTGGCCACGGTCCAGGAGGTCAGGTCCTCGTTCAGGGCGATGTAGTCGGCGCCGTCGTAGGCCCACTGACTGTACCCGCGGAGGAGGCGCCCGTCGGGTCCCACATCGCAGCCAAACATGCACTGGTAGGTGTGAGACCCTGACCCCACCCCACCCAGAGGTCAGTCCCGTAGCCCCGGAGGTCAGTCCCGCCCGGCCCGCCCCGCGGGGACTGAATCTAAAACTGAAATTGAAATCGGGTCAACTTCCCTTCGGGCTCCTCCCGGGTGGAGGCCAGGCGGGTCCCACCGCCTCGGGGTGACGCTCGAACCGGGACCCTCGGGGGGACCCCGTCCCATCCGTGGGGCGGGAGGTCGTGTCAGGCCCGGCGCGCGGCTCACCGTCCTCGCTCTGGTTGTAGTGGCCGCGGAGGGTCTCCAGGTTCCCTCGGTAAGTCTGTGCGGCTGCCTTGAAGATCTGGGTCTGCTCCTCCCAATACCCGAGGTAAACCTGCTCAACCCACGGCTGCTGCATCCATAGCGCCCCTGGCTCCGCCCTCGGACTTGCCGCGTCGCTGTCGAACCGCACGAACTGCGTGTCGTCCACGTAGCCGACGACGAAGAAGCGGGGCTCCCCGCGGCCGGGCCGGGACACGATGGTGTAGAAATACCTCAGGGAGTGGAAGCCTGGGGGGCGGACGGGGGGCAGGGCCGGGGCTGGACACGCGCCTTCCCTGCCCTGCGCCCCCGCCGGGTCCCCTCGCTGCTCCCCGCACAGCCGCCCCCTCCGACCTCGTACTCACCGGCCCAGCTGGGGGTCAGGACCAGCGCCCCCGAGATCAGCAGGAGGAGAGTGGGGGGCCTCAGGACCCGCATCCTCGGCGTCTGGGGACCATCTGAGTCCCTGCGCTTCCGCCTAGGAGTTACAACCAGGAGCCTCGGGGTCGCTGATTGGCTGCTCTGGAAGCCGTTCAGCCAATGGGAGTGAGAAATGGGGCCGCGTCATGAGTCTCCAGGACCGAGGCGCAGACACAGGTTGGGAGAGGAGAAGTGAAAACAGGGCGCTGGGGAGTCCCCACCAGGCAGCTGCCCCCCGACTCTGTCCCCTGCGGAGCCCTGAGCGCAGGCCTGGGCCCTGGGACTCGGTTCTGACCCTCCTCCTGCGCGGGGCGCCCGTCACACTGTCCCCGAGGCCTGGCCCAGGCGCTGTGCTGTTCCGGGACTTTCCAAAGTTTTGGTGTCACCATCTCTGTGCAGCCTCACACACAGGCGGGCCCCCAGATAACCTTGTGTGTGTGGTGACGTCATCATAGTGACCCCTCACGGAGTCACACAGGGTGAGACAGTTATTAATCCGTGTCATATGCTCACTGCCTGTGAGATGGTAACAGAAGTCATGTTTTTTAAAAAATATATTTTATATTGATTTCAGAGAAGAAGGGAGAGGGAGAGAGAGAGACAGAAATATCAGTGATGAGAAAGAACCATTGATAGGCTGCCTCCTTCACGCCCCAACTGGGGATGGAGCCCACAGTCCGTGCAGGTGCCCTTCCATCATGGATGTTTCTCCCTCTCCCTTCCTTCTGAAATAAATAAAAATCTATTTAAAATTTTTTTTAATAGAGTTGCCTGGAAGCGGCTGTGGGAAGGAGGCTGAAGGCGGAGGTGGAGCCCCTTGATCAGCTCTAAAGGCGCCCCAGGTCCTGCGAGGTCCTGGCCGCCTGCGAGGTCGCTGTGTCCGGGCCCCGCGGCCCCAGCGATGACCTGATGCGAACACGCGGCGCCCCCGGGCCGTGTCCCTGTGAAGAGGACGCGTGGGCAGCCGTGTGTGGGGCGCTGGGGGGCGCTCCCCTGGGGGCTCGTCTGACACGTGGCGTCTGGGTCGCGGCCCCCCTGACTCTGAGGCGGGGTGCCCATGAAGGAGGCTCCGTCCGTGGGGGCCTTCCCTTCGCTCAGGAGTTTATAGGATGTGCCGCGGGGCCACCATCACAGGGCTCAGCCCAGGTCCCGCCAGGCCCGACCCCTCTCCTGGCGCTGGACCGGAGGGACCCGGGAAGGAGCGCGCTTCCCATGCAGAGCTCGCTCCTCCCAGCGCCTCTCTCCCTCCCGGGGTGGGGCTCCCGCAGCCGCAGCCGCAGCCCCAGCGCCACCCAGTCTCCGCTGCACGAGGCGAGGGGGCGTGGGGGGGGGGGTGGGCGGCTGCCGGCGACCCCAGGCTGGGCCGGGGATGTGGTGCAGACTCAGGGCGGGTGCCCCCACTCGGACCCGCTCTGACGGATCCCGCGGGCGGGTGCCCCACTCGGACCCCCGGGAGGGCAGCCCTTCTCCTGGTCCCCCACCCGCAGGAGGGGAGCCGTGAGCAGCGCCCAGGACGTGGACACGGTCCTCCGGGCGGGAGCGGCCCTTCCTCCCGCTCAGACCCGGAGCGCAGGGCCGCGCTCAGCTGGTTGGCTGCGGCCGGTCCCAGGCGGGTGGGAAAGTGAGTCCCCGCCTGACCTGGCACTGGCCCTCGGGACCCGCAAGGAGGAGAGCCCGAGAGGGGGGGGTGCCTCCCCGGGCCTCGTCCTGCAAAGGGGGCTGGGCCCAGCGAAGGGAGCCTAGGGGTGTGTGCTGAGCGCCTCCTTAGCACCGACTGGAAAAGGTCTATTATTATTACTATTATTATTAGGTTAAGAAATCCTCTCGTTTAAAGGAGACAATTTTTATTTTATTTTTCTTTAAAAATATATGTTTATTGATTTCAGTGAGGAAGGGAGAGGGAGGGAGAGAAACATCCATGATGAGAGAGAATCATGGATTGACTGCCTCCTGCACGCCGCCCACTGGGGATGGAGCCCATAACCCCGGCAGGTGCCCTTGACCAGAATGGAACCCAGGACCCTGCAGTCCGGAGGCTGACGCTCTATTCACTGAGCCACACCAGCCAGGGCAGGAGACCATCTCTAAAGCTCCACTTGGCACCTGCTTGGCCGGGTCACAAAGCCCAGGAGGGAGGGAGGAGCCATCACTCCCCCCCCCCTCCCCAGGCCTGGCAGCTCCCCTAAGGGCTCCGCTGTCTAATCCACCAGGAACCCAGGGGCTCTGTGGGGACCCCAGGCCTTGCACCCAACATGTCAGATTCCAGGGGCAGCAGGAGACCCCGTTTCATTGAAGCCAAGGAAGGACGTGTCCTGAGGAGGACAGACCTGCCCCAGGCTCAGCCCCTGGGCCGGGGAAGGGCCCGCTGGCCAGGGACCGCGGGTGGAACGTGCAGCCCTGTGGCCTGGAACCAGCCCCTTCCCCTCAACCAGGGGGACTGAGAGGGAAACTCAAGTCCAAGAACAAACTCTAAGATGCGGCTCATGGGCGCGGCTTGTGCAGGTTGGGCGCTGGGCTCGGGGCGCCTGGCCCAGGATGAATGGCCACCACGGCCACCACCGCTGAGGCTGAGGCGCAGGCTGTGAGACCGCGGAGGAGGCGCAGGCTGTGAGGCCACTGCGCAGGAGGGTGCCCCAGGAGCCCAGGTCCAGCCTCAGCTGCCCCTGCGGAGCCCGCCAGGAGCCCCCGGAGCTCGGCCTCAGCCTACGTGCCAACAGGGCGCAGACCCTGCAGATGGGGACCCTGAACTTGGGCAGCAGCTTTCTGGGCGCCTGAGTGAGCGGCTTCAGCCCTGTGCTGAGGCGTCATGGTGGTCACAGGCCCTGCCTTCCCGCCCACCCGCCCTCCTGGCTGCTGCAGCCCCTCCTTCCGGGCCCTGTTCACCCGCAGCCCAGCGAGCGCTGCGGTGGAGCTGCGGGCCGGGCGGCCCCGTCCTCCCTGCGCGTCCTCAGCTGCTGCCCGGCCGGCGAGCAGCGCGGGCTCCTGGGCACGGGGCTTCCTGCAGAGGCGGCAGGTCAGGGCGAAGGGCGCCTAGCTCTGCCTCCAGGGAGACCCTCAGCGGCCACTCCCAGGCCCGCTGCCCAGGAGTCTCCGCCTTCCAGTCCCGAGCCCCCGAGCTCAGATCTGGAGCTGGGCGGAAGCAGCCCCCCACGGCCCTGGGGCCCGTGTCCGCACCGAGCTGCGGGACCGGACTCTAAGGGCTCCGCTGTCTAATCCATCAGGAACCCAAGGGCTCTGTGGGGACCCCAGGCCCATCGGCGGAGGGGCCGCAGCCAGAAGGAGGCGGGTGGGGGCAGCGGTGGCCTTGGCGGCCGTAAGGTGGCCACTTCCCCACATGGGACCTGGCCGCCCGCCGGCCACCGGGGAGGCCTGGGCGGCGGTAGCGGCGGCGGCAGGGGGCGCGGTGAGCTGCCCAGCTTGTCCGGGCGGACCCGCCCTGGTCCCTCCGCGCCTGTCCCAGACCAGCCTGGCGCCATCACAGTGAGGAGGGCGCCGAGGAGGATGCTAGCAGGGAGGGCAGAGAGCAGCCCCGGCAGGTCTGCACCGTGTTCACCGCGCACAGCAGGACGCATGGCGGCCCGGTGCCCGGAAGCGGGAGGCCCTCCCCGAGTAGGTGACCCCTGAACCCGAATCGCCTCCGGGGCGGCGAAACTTGGTCTCTCCCAGCGGAGCTCACCCAGCAGCTCGATCCCGCCGCCGGCGACGGGCACCCATGTGTGTCCCCAGGGCCCAACTCAGGGCCTGCCCTGTCCCCGCGGGCACCGGCCCAGGGTCCTGCTTGCGGCGCCTCCGGGCCTCCTGCTCCGGACACACCGGCTCTCAGCTGCGGCGCTGGCACCCGCTCCTCCACCAACGACTCCAGACACAGCCCGCTGGACAGTCGCGTCCCCCCTGCTGCCCAGGACACCTGCCAGGACTTTGCTCCGAACTTCAAGGAGAGCGAAAAGAATGCCACGGGGGCCGACGTGCGCGCCCCTGCCCGCCCCGTCGTTGTGGGGAAGAGCTGGGTCCCCAAAGGGAAGCCGCGTGAGGGTGACACCCGCACCACCTTCCTCAGTGACTGGGGCAGGTGGACGCAGGCCATGATGGGCGTGGAGCGCAGCTGTGAAACAGGCAGCCATGAGGGCGAGGCTGGTCCGCAGCCGAGGCCCCTCAGCCACCCCCACCCAGCCCTCCATGCGGCCTCACACTCCCCCTCCTGTCACCCACCCACCCACCATCTTTGTCAGGAGCTGCTGTCTGCCCCACCCCTGACCCCAGTCCCAGTGGCTGGGAGAGGGAAGCAGTGGTGGGAGCTCTGGGTGGCTCTCTGTCTCTCTCTCTCTCTCTCTCTCTCTCTCTCTCTCTCTCTCACACACACACACACACACACACACTGGAGCACAGTCAGGGAGTACTCGCTCCCCCTCTCCTAACCCTGAGCCATTGTCTCCAATTCCCCTCAACCAGGCTGGGCAGGGGAGGGGCAGGCAGGGGCAGTCCTCTGGGTCAACTTTCCAGGCAGCCCCCTGAGACTGGCAGGGGCCCCAGAGTGCTCTGGACCCTCCTCCCACCTCCTCCCAGTGCTTCCATGTTTCCCAAAGTGCCTTCCTGTCTCCTTGGTCTGTCCCTGCCCCTGGAGCTGGGGAGGGCCAGGCGGTGGGGACGCTCCTGTGACAGGTGAGGAAACCTGGGCTCAGAGACTCCTGAGGACGGACCTCACCCACCTAAGGGGGCAGGGGTTGGTGCGCCCAGCGCCCTTCTCCCCCCACCCTGTACTCAGCCTCTCTTCCCCATCAGGCCCCTCAGACCTGAGTGGGGCAGGTCCTGGGTGAGGGGCACAGACCCAGAGTCTCTGAGGGGAGAGGGAGAGGTTTTGGGGGCTCACAGGTGCGTGTGTGTGTGTGTGTGTGTGTGTCTGTGTGAATGTGGGGAAGTTTTACTTTAAAATAAGTGAAGAGAAGAGAGGCAGTGGGAGCAGAGGAGCAGGCTGGCGGGCTGCTGCCCTTTTCTCTCTCCCCACTCCATCCCACGGCAGGACTCCCAGCGCCCATCCCCTGCACATACTTTTTAATACATTGTTTTTGCTCTTGAAATATCTATACTA